GAAGCTTTGCAGCAAAATATACTGTCTAAAGAGCTGCTTTCTCTTTATCAGTCAAACCAGGCTTTCACTCTGCCATAAATGGCAGTTCCATTGTCATATCCCCATGGATACCAATGTTCTATTGAAGAAAAAAAGATTTTCAGTTCAGAAATGACTCTTATTCTGTGGAAATCAGATATGCCTCGCTTTACTGCATACTACAGGCACTGACAGGAGATGGAGAGTTATCTGCATGGGCACATTAGTGTTCACAGGCTGTGTGCACACTGAGTCTGAGACCAATGTCAGTGTCAGTGTTCTGGGAAATCAAACCAGAACAGGCGGTTGGTTACTGCATGCACAGACTGAAAGAGAAAGGGAGAATGGGATAAATAGGAAGAGAGAGGGGTACGGAAATGCAAAAATAGCCTTGGTGCCATTAAAAGCATGACTTAGTCTTGCTTAGACTTAGTCATGACTTTTTGAGAGGTCTGTTAGGAAGCAGAGTCTTAAAATTATTGGTGACCAAAGCCATATTCTCCATAAAGAGTATGAGCTAATGCCCTCGGGCAGGAGATATAGGGTTCCAATCTGTAAGCTGAAAAGATACAAATTTTCTCTAATTCCATTATCTGTCAAATTATTGAATAAGTGATTGAAATTGTTGTGTGGATGAGGGTAATGTGATGGGTAACATGTAATGTTGGTGTATTATTAGGATTGTGTAGGAATTATATATGTTTTGGAATGGTGTACATTTTTTGGGTTTTTTTTGTATGTTTGATCTGCTCTCCCGGTTGCCTAAGACAAATTTCTCCTAAGGGAGACAATAAAAGAGAAACTTAAACTTAGTATATGTCATTATCTTTTTCTTGTGGTGCAAATAAAAGCTAAGCAGATAGGGTTTTTGTAACTGTGATCAAAACTGATATTTCTAAACAATAACCACGTCAAACAAAAAGGGGGAAAACAGATCAATGAGCATGCATATAAATATAAGTGTTTCTTTTGGTTGCTGTTCAGATATAATATCCAGATGCATTGCAATAATGAAAAAAAAAATGTATATAAGGAACTAAAAGAGATAGTTCACCCAAAAATTAACATTATGTCACCATGTTATTGTCTTGTCCTGACTTGTATTCTATGAATTCTGAATTTACATCTCAAAAAACTTTTTTTTGTATTAAATAAAAAAAAAGGTAATTGTGAAAGGTAAATGTGTTTTATCTCACAATGCAAATGTTATCGTGCAATTCTGAAGCAAAAAGTCTCAACTGTTAGATATAACCTCAAGAATACTAGCCAGAACTGTGAAATAAAAAGTTGCAATTACCTTTTTTTGTTTGTTTTTTATTCCGTGGCGAGGGGAAAACAGAATTGTGAGATGTAAAATCGGATTTTAAAAAAAGTCAGAATTGTGAGATGTAAACTTAGAATTGCAAGGAAAATAAAATGTGAATTGTGAGATAAAAAGTCACAGTTACCTTTTTTATTTTGTTTATTCTGTGGCGAAAACAGGCTTCCATACAAACCTGTATGGCTTTCTCTTTCTTTTAAGATATCTTCCTCTGTGTTCCACAGAAAAAAGAAAGTCATACAGGTTTGGAATGACATACGGGTGAATAAATAATGACAAAATTTTCATTTGTAGGTGATCTATCCATTTAAATTATTAATTTAAATGCAAAATGCCCAACACAGTTATTATTGTAACTAAATCACTGCTGGGTCTTAATGCCACAGATGTGCGCTTTTGTATCATACAGTGTTTACAGTATAGAAGCTAAAAATTTGGACTCATAGGGGGAGCAGGGCTACAGCCTAAAAATACCCCATTTACCATCTGCCATCTCTCTGCACCAAATGTTGCTGGATTAGCCCAGACTCACTCATTCAGCTGTGCAAGGGCATGAGAAAATGTCTAGATCTAAAACAGATTTGTAAATAAATATTGGCTTGACTAAATCTAACACTCGCCTTCACAGCAGTCAGTTGGGCCTAAACAGATTCTATTAATTAATCGTGGGAATTTTCAATACAATACATTTCCAATGTCAAAAATCATAATTTATGCATATACTTACAGCTAAATTAACCCTATAGAGCATATTTAATAAACACTTGACATGTTAGAGTCCAAAGTCTACTTAAAGGAATTTTTAAAGGTTTTTAAGTGCACTTAAAAATGAAATTCTGTCATTAAAAAAATCAACTGTTTTTGTTCATACAATTAAAGTCAAAGTTTAAAATAACATTGGACTCAAGAACTTGAACATGCATTTGGCCTTCGGCTAGTCCGGTTGCTTAGTCCCTTTTCTCCATTAACTGCTATACCTTGAATTAATTGTTAATAACAATGCAGCTCAAGGCAGGAATTTTCTCGGCTTAACTGGTGAGGTTAAGTGGGTGGTAAATGTCTATGAGTTTATATACTTAATCAGTTAATCTCAAATGAGCATGCCTATTAAATTCATCATAAGTTTTTCATAGTCTTTATGAGTGTGAAACAGTCACATGGCTTGATCTCTACCCTTTGAGCTATCTTCCAGATAAACTTTTGAAAAAAAACTAATTACTTAACACAGATTTAGACAGATTTCTAACAGGGGTGTAAATCAGATGTTTCATCACGATATATGATCTGACATCGATTCATTCAGCAAGCAATGCAATATTTGCTTATACCTCAAAACATGCTGTGATACAACCTGTGATTAATATAATCGATATTATGTGCCATTTTTACAAAACCATATATATATATATATATTATGCGTTGCATCATTTCATCATATTGTTAGTCATTTGATTGATGCATCAATCCATATTGGTGTATTATTTCAACTCTAATTTCTAATTTCTCTGAAAACAACCATTCATTTCCTTGTTTAAATCACACAGCAGGTTGTGGCATCTAAGTAACATTAGTTTTCTAATGTTATATGCTGCATCTGTCAATGAGTGCACACAGAAGCAAAGCCTCATGATACTCGACTAAAAGAAGAAAACTGTCTCTGCCTGATCGCAGAGTTTTTAGGAGCAGCAGAGAGACCAATCTGTCGCTATAGATTTCTAAGAGAGAAGAACAGTTCTAATAAAGTAAACACACCAGGATAACACTTGAGCCCCCTCAATACAGCAAAACACTCTTAAAGGTGCACTCAGTACCCTATGCCTTTACATAGTGCACTATTTGAGGGGACATCTGTAGTCAACATTATCAAGTGCACTCATTTAATCCCACAATGCACCTCAATTGTGAGTGTACAACCAATGCACACTCAAAGGCTATAGCTGCCAAAGCAGGGGTTCTCAGCTCTGACCCTTGAGCTCCATTTTTCTTGCATTTTAGCTCTACTCAAACACACCTGAACAAGCTAATCAAGGTCTTCATAATTGCTAGAAAGTTTGATCAAGGTTGGAGCTAAACTTTGGAAGTGGACCTTGAGAGACAGAGTTGAGAACCCCTCTGTTAAAGAATACCCAACCACAGAAAGTTGCAACGAATTAATTCTTGCATCTCGCGAGAAGATGGTGTCCATGGCAGAGTAATGTAGGGAATAGTGAATGAGGGGGATATTTCGGATACATCCTAAGTTTTTGTTTATCTCTTATTTGTCCAAATGTATGAGCAGTTTTGTTGCAAAACAAAGACTGTTGCACTCTATTGCATGATAGGACTGGTCATGTGATGTCAACATGGGGCATCCACCTCCACCAACATGGGGGTGACCCCCTCCATGTGAAACAAAACCTTTTTTTTTTTTCTAGAAATCAGATATGGCTTAAGTTGTCATCTCACGTTATTGTACATAAGCTTTATAACATTTCTTAAATGTACAGCTAATTTGTTTCTCTGCAAAACATTTTAATTAGCAAATAATGACTAAGTGCACCTTTAAATGCCATTACACCATGGGCCAGATGAGGTGAGTTTGTCTAAAAGGCTTTAAACATTACTACTGTTACTACTTCTGTTACTAATAAAAGCATAGGCTACTGGAAAAGTGCTTTGCCCTTTCTCATTCAGCTTGTTCCAGCATTCTATTATTGCATCTGGTGCAATACTACTAAAAACTAACGCACACCTAGAATTAGTCTCCATATAAATTGCTGCATTAGATTCCATTATGAGCGCAGCCTGCATCATCTTCCGCAACAAGACTACCATGCATTGGCTCTATACGATTATATATTATTATACTAATGCATCCAAGACGACGTCAGCAGCGCGCGGATCCTCTTTCTCGATGTTCACGTTGCACAACCAAATCTGACTCTTTATCCCACTATACGTTCAGCCGTTTAGTCATCAAAAATCTCCGTATCATTCCATGAAAGGCCTTTTTAATGATGCAAAGTGACATGAATATACATATATTTCCAATTAAATGGATGACTGATCCTGTGCATACTGGTTTACTGTTTGTCGCACACACTCGTACATTTATCAAACACTGAAAATGTAAGCTGGCTATGTGGAAAGCCCTAGCGCGTCTAAATGGAAATCACCACGGTCTCTAAGACTGCAGACAGTTTGCACGCATGTATCTTATACATTTTATATCACCACGGGGCCGGTTGTTGGACAGAGGAGTAAATGAGTTCAGCATCACTATATCATACGCAGCCCGTTTCATTCATAAAGAAGCGGCTCTCCATAGCACTTGTGGTGATTCACATGCCTTCTTTCGGCTATATGTAGGTAAAGCCACAGCCACGTTTTATTTAGAATCGTGTTCAATTCTCAACATTTCCGTTTTCGTTACTATTTGTTGTTAAAGCAAATGCCATTATGACAGTTATGGTCAGTGCAGCTAACGCATGATTTCCACACAATACAGAAAATGCTGCAAGTATTCATTCAGCAGGCAAAGTCTAACTGAAATCTGTGTAACGCTTGTCCGGGTGGCTTATGCTGTGCGTGCACTATAAAAAATTAAAAGACACAATATACCAAAGGCACTATGAATGAATGAATTGATTTCATACGTCGGCGTGCGATTCGACTCACCTACCTGAACTTAACGTAGCCTATCCCGCGTGACTGATCTTTGACTGACAGCACAGATGAATGGCAGCCTGCGCTAATAAGGTACTAAAGCATTTTAGACTAATAATGAAGACGTGATAGAGTCCAATCTCAACGGCAGTCCTCTCTCTCCCTCTCTCTGTATCGCACTCACTCACTCACTCACACACACACACACACACACACCCTCCTCCTCAGAATCTCCACTTGCTTCAGATATGGTGGGAGAGTTTTTACATATTGCCTACAGGAGGTAGACAAAATAACAAAAGAACCTAACAATACAGTGCAGTCTCTCATTTTACTGAATTATAATGAAGCCTATTCTTAAAATTCAGTACACATTCATATTAAATTATTTTATATGTCAAGCACTGAAACTTGAATATGTTAGAAAGATGTGTTTCATATTGTAAAACACAAATATAAAAATGTAAATATCAAATTTACAAAAATATATCAAATGTAAATGTTTAAATCAATTATTTTAAATAAATGCATTTAAAAATAAATTGAAATACCCTTAAAAGTAAATGTAAATAAATATATTTCGTTTTTAAATAAACACTTACATTTAAATAAACATTTGAAAGTTAATTTAAGTAAATATATTTTAAAATAAATGTAAATAAACATTTTAAATAAATTAATATAATGAAATAAACATGTTTAAATACATTGAAAAACATTTAAAAATAACTGACAAACAATTTCCGTTTCCTCGGACTGCAACTACGGCAGAACCGTTTTAAAGGTGCCTCAAATACTGTGTACTCAAGAGATTGCAATATACATTCTAAGTGTCTTAAATAGAGTTTTTTCAGAGGGTTCTGGCAGTGTGATAATCTGAGGGATCCCCAAATGGTGTATCAAGTACTTTTTAATTTTTACAGGTTTTTAATTTTACAAGTTTTGTGTTCCCTCTCGCTGAGCCTGGAGGTGTTTTGGCTGTGGCTAACAAGGCAGACCGAAGAATGTTAGTCCCTGTCACAGTCTGAATCTTTGTGTTGAATCTTAGCGGATAATGGTGCAGAGTTCCTTGAGGCAATTCAGATTTCTTTGACTGACAGCTAGATCTTGTAAGGGTGGCCCATCTTATTCTCAACTTTATTCCATAATCTTTCACAAGACATTCCCATTAAAGTAACTGACAGAATATTGTGTAAAAGCCTGTATAATACTTAATAGGTATGCACAATTACACAGTATCAAACAAAGACCTCACCAAGTAAAGAACTCAGATCAGTAAGGATTAAATCTGCATAAACTGACACTGGGAGTTCATTAAACATGCAGACTCTTTTTGTGTGGAGAGATGGAGGCAGTAGACAACCAAATATAATCACAATAGACAGGCTGGGGTATACAGTTTGATAATAGCTTGCAGGAAGCAGGAGGAGCACACGGATATTAGTCACCTCACAATAATGCCTGTATATTCAGTACTCTCCCATGCTTTTATTTCTTTCCCTTGCAAATAAAAAGAAATTAAATGGTGAAAAGCCATGTCAAATTCTAAGCAACAACAACACAGAAAATTTGTTTAGGCTTTAGAGCAGATGATTTAAGTAAGTGATGTTTATTTCTGGGAGATATTTAGACATTTACATTTAAGATAATCTACAGTGGGCAAAGATAGTTTTATGCATTGAAGTTTCTCTCTACAAATGTAGTACAATGTGATTAACTAATTAAAGATTCTGATTAACTGTTGGTATGTCTTGACAGATTACATCAGACATCACATTAAGTCCACAGTACGGTTTGTCTCCCTCCTCCTATAAGAATCAGTACTACATTGTCAAAAACGGATAATAATATATTCAGAAACAGAGCAAAGGCAACACTAGGTATACATTATCATTAATACTCATATTTCAAGGTGTCATGGAAGTTTCTGACATCCCTTTCGATTATCCCTTGCCTGAGCCTTTATCTCAAAATGTTTAAAGACAACTACTGTTGATCCTGCTCTTAAAAAAAATAAAAACCAACGTTTAAATGAATAAAATGCTTCATCATTATTATCATGGCTCATAATACGGTTTACTTCCTGCTGTAACAGGTGCACAGAGAATGCCATCTCCACTAGCATTCACAAAGTCCTCTTACAATAAAAAAGTAACCCGAGAATGCTGTTCCACTACAGCTCAGCTTTTAACATGACTAAACAATCAGTCAGAGCTTTACACCCTTGTTTACTTCTTGCTCGGAGTCCCAGTGGTACACTTGAACTCCCACTTGCACTACAACTGTTGCCTTCCTTGAACAAATATTGCATATACTCAAGTGTCATCGCCCAATTAAACACTGTACACACTCTGTGTTATGGCAGATACTTGACCTCTGTATTTGCACAGCCTGCTCTTGCATATTAATATCCAAATGCATACACTTTAAGACAAAAGGTACAAAGCTGTTTAGTATTTAACATATTAGTATTATAAATATTACGTTAGTATCTTTTGAAATGGTACCACACGATACCTTTTTTCAGAAAGTGTAATTATTTCCATTATATATGTCAAATTTCATTGTGTGTGTATATTGATATATAGATTGTACATCTACATCTTGTCTTCATTAATGCTGTAAGGAAATAGTACTGTAATAGACTATAATAGACACTTTTACATATATCAACACCAAAGTTTGTTAGTGTTTTTTTTTTAAAGGGATCTTCAATAAGTTACTTAAATTATTTCAAGATTATAGACAATTAAGGCTTCACAAATGCCACAAAGTACATTCTTATCTATATTAATCATTCACAACTTTGAAAATGCGGCCTTTTGCTGTGTGTGAGCCATGTGACAGGTACAGTAAAAAGAGCAAAAGTACACATTATCTATTGATTACTGCTTCCAATATTTCCTGTTATAAAGAATGACTCATGAAGCAATGGCCTGTTTTCTTTTACAGAAACTTGTAGCTTGAGGAGGTATAATTATTCTTCTCAGGTTCAGCATTCTGAAAGGGTGTAAAATGGCTTCATATTTCTGTCTACTATGGAAAAAACTGATTAACATAACAGCTTTGTTGCATAACAGCTCAACAACCAAAAGGAAATATTATACTGTGTTTTCTAATATACCCATGTAGTGCTTTGATACCCTAACTGTTTAATATTACACTGCTAATACAGAGTTATTCATAGCAAGGCTAAAACTGGATATAAAAAAAACAAGACCTAAGTGAAGCTAAAAGTGTGGCGTTTAGTCAAACAACTCTAGGCTCACTCATATTCTTACTGTAATTCTGCATAAACAGAAACATTGTGTTTTGGACAACAGTTTAAAATAAACTACACTGTCCAGTGTCCACTGCATGTATACTGTATTTCCAAGCTGCCCTACTTGCATTCATGGAGTCCATTTTTTGGGTCTCATTTTTTAACATAAACCCACAATACAACAATGAACCAACTACTCAAACAGCAATCTTCAAAGTCAGCCCCTGACCCCTATAGTTACCGGTTTCAATTTTTCATGACATCTCCTTTGAGTCGTACCCTCAATCTGCACTGCACTCCATTTCGGAGTTCCCAGGAGGTACTTTTAATGCCCCCTTAAGTCAGATTTCCGACTCAGAAACTCAGGGGACCTCAACTTAAATGGGACATCAGATGCCCATTTTCCACAAGTTGGTATGATTCTTTAGGGTCTTCATGAAATGTCTGTAACATACTTTGGTTAAAATTCCTCAGTGGTCGTGTAAAAACAACACCCTCTTTACCGTGTCAAAACACAGCTCTGTTCACAGCAACCCGTTTCGGTGCATGACTCAGACAGCCAATAACAAACTGGCTGAGTGTTTTCTTTTCAGCTTTTCTGAGCTGGCAGACACAACAGAAACCAAACTAATCTAAATACAAAAAAAAGGCTAGAAAAAGTGAAAATTTCATCCGATGTTCCCTTTAAGAATCCAAAATGGCTGCTCAGTGCATCAACAGTAAGTGAAAACGTCGTAATATATAGTAGTAACATTTATTTGCACTTTGTGTCTGAAATCAATTATGTCTCAATGTCTGCACTTTTTATGTGCTTTTATTGACTGGTACTGCTACTTATGGATGTGTACATCTTGGTTTTCCGACTTGTGTACTGAAACACGGTTATCTCGGGTATAATGTCATTCCCAAGCTCTGACATCTGAGGCAAATGGAACACAGACAAGGTGAGCCCTCAAGCCCAGGCAGTGCAGCAGGCAGGGCGAGACGTGACGTACACTCAACTACTTCGATCACTGGAGCCATAAGTGGGCCACCTAAGACTCCAAAACAAAACTGATCCTACAGGCCACAACTTCAAACGTTCAAGGCCACAAATGAAAATACCTGCAGCTCAGGATCAGCGGTCTGTTCAAACCTAAAGGCACATTACAGAAAGGGAGATATGATACATGGACAAGCACATTGATGCATGAGTTTCACACCCTTAGTTATCATCCACGTGCGCTCCAGAACCAGCAAATTCACCATCATATATGTTTGTCAAGGTTAAAACAAATACACTAAAAAAGACAACATTATAAAAGATAAGCCTATTTAACTTTTAAGAGAAACAACTTAAAAGTTCCAAGTAATTTTGCACAAAAAAAAAAAACAATACAAATTTGGAGAACATGCTTAATATTTAGGCATAGATCTTTCCAGTTTTATTTATTAAAAGACAGCGACTTCAACATTTCTTTCATTGCTCAAAGTTCTAAAATATAGGATGAATACAAAACAGAAATGTGAAATTAAATTAAATAGTATCCCAAGAACATTTAAAGGCTATTTTTGGCCTGACTGTGCTGCCTGGCTCAGATGCAGTTAAGAATAATTTCAGTGGGGTTAGTGACTTAAACATTATGATAGTCAAAAAATAAAAAGGCAAATGTAAACACAAGGCTCCTGGTAAAATGATTCTTCATATCTCCACCTGCGAATCATTTATTCTTATCACTGTTCAGCAATGTGAAGCCTGTTGGAAAAAGGCAGAGGAAAACAGACCTTG